TACATCACTACAGGAAAAACCATAGCTTTGACTATTCAGACTTTTGTCGGCAAGGTGATGTCTCTGCTTTTTAAAATGCTGTCAAGGTTTGTCATTGCTTTCCTCCCAAGAAGCAGGTGTCTTTTAATTTTGTGGCTGCTGTCTCCATCTGCAGTGATCATGGAGCCCAAGAAAGTAAACTCTGTCACTGCCTCCATATCTTCCCCTTCTATTTCCCAGGAGGTGATTGGACCAGTGTCCATGATCTTAGTTTTTTTAATGTTGAGTTTCAGACCATTTTTTGCACTCTTCTCTTTCACGCTCATTACGAGTTTCTTTAATTCCTCCTCATTTTCTGCCATCAGAGTGGTATCATCTGCATATTGGAGGTTGTTGATATTTCTTCCGGCAATCTTAATTCCGGTTTGGGATTACTCCAGTCCAGCCTTTTGCATTATGTATTCTGCATATGTTAAATAAGCAGGAGGACAATATACAGCCTTGTTGTACTCCTTTCCCAATTTTGAACCAGTTGTTCCATATCCAGTTCTGACTGTTGCTTCCTGTCCCATGTATAGGTTTCTCAGAAGATAGACAAGGTGGTCAGGCACTCCCATTTCTTTAAGGACTTGCCATAATTTGCTGTGGTCCACACAGACAAAGGCTTTTGCATAGTCAATGAAGCAGAAGTAGATGTTTTTCTGGAACTCTCTGGCTTTCTCCATAATCCAGCGCATGTTAGCAATTTGGTCTCTAGTTCCTCTGCTCATTCGAAATCCAGATTTTACTACTGGGAGTTCTCGGTCCACATACTGCTGAAGGCTACCTTGGAGGATTTTGATCATAACCTTGCTAGTGTGTGAAATGAGTGCAATTGTGCGGTAGTTGGAGCATTCTATGGCAGTGCCCTTCTTTGGTATTGGGATGTAGACTGATCTTTTCCAGTCCTCTGGCCACTGTTGAGGTTTCCAAACTTGCTTGCATATTGAATGTAGTACTTCAACAGCATCATCTTTTAAGGTTTTAAATAGTTCCACTGGAATGCCATTATCTGCACTGTCCTTGTTGTTAGCCAGGCTTTCTAAGGCCCACTTCACTCTCCAGGATGTCTGGCTCAAGGCCAGCAGCCACACTATCTGGGTTGTCTGGGATATCCAAATCTTTCTGGTATAATTCCTCTGTGTATTCTTGCCACCTGTTCTTGATGTCTTCTGCTTCTTTGAGATCCCTTCCATTTTTGTCCTTTATCATGTTCATCTTTGCACAAAATGTTCCTCTGATATCTCCAGTTTTCCTGAACAGATCTCTGGTTTTTTCCTTTTCTATTCTTTTCCTCTATTTCTTTGCATTGTTCATTTAAGAAGGCCCTCTTGTCTCTCCTTGCTATTCTTTGGAAGTCTGCATTCTATTTTCTGTAACTTTCCTTATCTCCCTTGCATTTTGTTTCCCTTCTCCTCTCTGCTATTTCTAAGGCCTTGGATTTCCTTTCTTGGATTTCCTTTTCTTTGGGATGGTGTGTTTTTTTTGGCTGCCTCCTATACAATGTTACGAGCCTTCATCCATAGTTCTTCCAGCACTCTGTCCACCAAATCTAGTTCCTCAAATCTGTTCTTCACTTCCACTGTGTATTCATAAGGGATTTGGTTCAGATTATACCTGACTAGCCCAGTGGTTTTTCCTACTCTCTTCAGTTTAAGCTTGAATTTTGCTATGAGAAGCTGATGATCAGAGCCACAATCAGCTCCAGGTCTTGTTTTTACTGTGATGTTGAAAGGTCTGCCTTTTACTTACGATGCTGCCATTTACTTACGATGCTGCAAATCCACCAGGATATCGAAAATGTAATCTCTTTCAAGTATTCTGATTCCAGTATTGTACAGAATTAGACAACATTCTATGCAAAATGTATGCAGAATTTATGCAAAATTATATGGCTGTATCTTAATTTAAGATTGATACAAGCAGGTTGCTGGATGAAGACGGAGTTTGTATCCAAAACCTTAACTTTCATGGTTACATTTGATATAACTGAAAGTAGCTAAAATATCTTTGCACCAGTCTGTCTTTTCAACATTAGCTCAAGCAACATCCCATTTGTGTATCATGCACTATCATTAGGGGAAGGAATGGAATCAACAGTCCTGCTAATAGAAAAGCTAATATCCAGGTCTATGATTGTGGGTTTTTGTACCTTTCCAGATACAGTGGTGCCTCGCTTGACGACATTAATTTGTTCCAGCAAAATCACTGTAGAGCGAAATCGTTGTCAAGCGAAATAAAAAAACCATTAAAATGCATTGAAAACTGTTCAATGCATTCCAATGGGCGAAATACCTGCTCATCCAGTGAAGATCCACCATACGGCAGCCATTTTCTGGTGCATGTAATGCGAGGAATCCATCTGTAACACAGCGGGGAGCCATTTTCTACAACTGGTGGCCATTTTGAAACCCGAGTATCAGCTGTTTGCTAATTGTCGTAAAGCGAAAAATTGGTTCCCGAAGCAGGGAACCGATCAATGTTAAGCAAAATTCCCCCATCTAAACATCATTTTGCAATCGCAAAAGCGATCGCAAAAACTTCAACGTTAAGCGGATTCGTCATCAAGTGGGGTAATCGTCCAGCAAGACACCACTGTAACATTATTGCACTAGTTGGGGAATTCACTCAAATCATTTCCCCCTTTTGATTCCATCTTCAGCCCTGACTGACCTTCCTGTGAACACCTCCTTTCTCCCTCAACTTCTCAGCAACCACACAGTATGTATTTTTTTCACTATCCCCTTTTGCAGATTTACTACGTCCCCCACATTTCTGTGGGGTAGGCAGTAAATCTGCACTCTTGGACTTTGCCAAAGATCCAGGTTTTTACTTCAAAAATTAAGTTAATTTAGACTAATTTCTTTCCTGGCTTCAACATTTAGCATTAAGACTTCGCCTCCAATTAACCTACCAGTATAAGCTAGCACCAGATTCTTTATAAAGCAACAACTGATATATACACAACAGTGAGCTCATACTTCTGATTCTATAGAGGGAGTATTTAGTCTCTGCTATATAAAAAAGACCCTTGATCTGTCTTCCAGACCTTCACTCAACATTGCAAACATCAGAAATTCAATAGTCTGAACTACATCAAGCAGAATACAGGCATGGATTTGCACACATAGAATGCCCATATCCCACGTCCATTACAATGGTTCAGATGTTTTGAGAGAATAGAACTGCAATGGCAGATATCAAGAAAAGAACCTTAATTGCAAGAATGTATCCTTAGAGACCAAGGCTTTCATCTACACTGTGGCATTTCTGGTTACTATGTATGGGTATGAAAGCTATACAATGAAGAAAGCTGTTAGGAAAAAAAAATCATTAAAATGTAGTGTTAATAGAGAGCTTTAAGGATACCATATACTAACATAAAGGGGGAGAAACAGGTGGGTTCAACCCAAGAGTGAATTCTCACATGAAGCTCACATGCGTAAATTGAGGGTATTATACTGTAAATGTACCATGAGAAGACAAAACACAGTGAAAAAGACAACCACAGTAGGACAAGCAAAAGGAAGTAGGAAAAAAGACCTAGTGTGAAATGAATTGATTCAATAAAGGAAGTCATGGTCTCTAAAAGGAAGCCAAGACCTAAACAGAATTGTTAATGAAAAGACATTCTGGAGATAATTAATTTCTCAGGGTTGCCAAAAGTCCCTCTCAGTTCAGGAAATCTGCTGCTACAGCATCTCTGAGCAGTGGTCACCCAACCTCTTCCTAAAAACATTTAATGAAATAAAGTTCACTACCACCAAAGGTACACAATAGATCTATATCAGGAAGCTGTTTAATTGAAAAATCCTTCCATGTAATTTAAATTCCATCTATTTGGGTTCAACATCTTGAGGAACAAAGAACAAGTTTGCTTCATCAACAACACACACAAAAATTCAAATATCTAAAAGATGAGTATAATTTTTTTTTTACTTATATACCGCCCCATAGCACTACAAGCACTCTCTGGGCGGTTTACAATTTAATTATACAGGCTACATATTGCCCCCCCCCAGCAAGCTGGGTACTCATTTTACCGACCTCGGAAGGATGGAAGGCTGAGTCAACCTTGAGCCGGCTACCTGGGATTTGAACCCCAGGTCGTGAGCAGTTTTAGCTGCAGTACAGCGTTTTAACCACTGCGCCATGAGGCTCCATAATCTCTTCCCCAGGCTAAACATACTCAACTCTAGAAGTGTAGTTATTTTCACCTATAGTCTCTACAGCAAAACACACAGATGTGTGGCACCTTTAAGATTGAGAAGTTTTACTGGGTATAAATATTTATGGACTTAGTCTGTTCTTCAAATATGTTTCTAAGGAAGTGGCTTGAAATCCATGGAAGTTCAGACTGAGATAAAACTTTTAAAGGTAGCAAAACAATTTCCTTTTTTCTTATCATGTATGCTGAAACCAACTAACATGGATACTTTTTCAAAAATTAACAAATAAAATTTGCCACTCTTTCAGGTGCCACAGAATTCTTTGTTGCTTTCCCCACAACACTCAACTTCTTCAACATTTCCTCACAGGACTTTGTCTCCTGCCCTATTTTTGTCAATGTTCTCTATGCTTGTCCCAGTTTCCCAATTCCCCACCACCACCACAGTAAGCAGAACAAGATCTACAGTTATACTTTTAGTAAACAGAACAAGATCAGGACAATATCAGAAGAAAACAAGCAAACAAAACAAAACTCCACCTCAAAAGAGTTACGATATGTGATTGTTATGTGCTGTCAAGTTACCTCCAATTTATGGTAATCCTATGAATAAGCAACCTCCAAATTGACACAGGAGACTGAAAATGCCCAATACATTTTGTTTTATACCCTCCCCAGAAAAAAAGGATAAATTCAGGGATCATGACCGGAATGAAGTTTTCAACAAGTTATGTTATTTCCCCCAAGAAACCTCTAAAACACAGCATGGTCAGAATTTTTTGTTCCTAATTAAAATTTCCTGTACATCTCAGCAGTATTTTGAGACACTGTTCCTTTACTTTTAATTAAGCCACTTAACATGGTTCTCTTTCTTTTTAGAGACATCTCAGAAGACACCAAGTTATCATAACTATCATACAATCAGTTCATACTGAACCTGATTGCAGATCTAATTCCGATTCTTGTTTTCATGAGTTCGATTTTGTGGACTGATGAGTCAGGTAATGAATATGTTGATGTAAATCTGAAAACTTGTGAGACTTGGCTGTTTATTAGCCTGTTATCAGTAAGACAGGCAAAGTTGTTTGTGCTTCCCATCTGGGATGCTCTTAAAAAAACATATTGTGCCTTGTCACGAAAATTAGTACCTGGTGTGGAACAGAGCCAGGAGGATGTTTCTGTACTCAGATCGACATAACTGTCTATAGGCCTCAGAGTACGAAAAAGTACTGAAAACCTTTACTTATATCCTTTCTTTGGGACAAATATGGACAGAACTCGGCTGCAATCCCAAATGATCCAATTAACCACATAATGTTTTCAGTGTAGCATTGGAAAACCAGCTTATAATCACTGTTAGTTAACCAATGCTATAGCAATTAATAGTACTGTATACCTGAAGCTACTTTACTGTTGGTCCATATAAACTTTAAAAGCAAAGATACCTCCTTTGTTCTACAAGTTTGTGATCAAGGCTTCAAAGTTTAAACATCTCTGGAAAGCTTTTAATAGGAAAGCAGATTTTGGGTTGCAGCTTTCAGTGGCTGAGGATCTACAAACTCCTTTCACCAAACTCCGATGCTTGGGACACCTTGTAATTACTTGAGGAGAAAATGTTCTGAACCTTCTCAGGCGGCTTATTCTTGCTTTCTATAGTCCAGGACAGAACTTCAGCACTGAAAAGAGATGCCACAACCGAGCCCTTGCATTAGGACCACTTTCGGAGAGCAACGTGTAGTCCTTGAAATTCGAATGTGCCCTCCCCCTTTCAGGAAGTGTATGGGCCGGGGACAAAACCTTTGCAAAGAAAACAATTTACAAGAAGTTCGGTTTCCACTTCTTAATTAAGAAAAGTTCATTAAAGTATCACACCGCTCAAGGGACCCACCGAGGGTCCCGAGAGTGTTCCGTCCCTCCCCCCCAAAAAAGGAATGTGGTAGACTTCTTGGCTGGCTTACACCTGTCTGGTGTTTCCGGCGTAGTTGGGCTGGTCAAGGGAGAGGCAGCGTCTACCGAAGAGTCAGCGGGAGCAGGCCACCATCCTGCTAGACTCAAGACTTTTATCTCGCGCCCGAGCGGCGTGTGAGCCTGCGCACGTACAAAAGGGGGCGTGCGACGATGGGCACGAAAGGGAGCGACCACGGAGACGGCGACAGGCGGAAGCCCAGGGCAAGGGTGGGGCCGCGCGCGAAGGTGGCCGAGGAGGTGGAGGAGGAGGAGGAGAGGGGGGGAGCATAAAGGGGCGTGTCCCGGCCGGGGAGCCCTCGCGCACCCTGCTTGCGACCCCTCCCCCCTTTCGCCCCTTTTTTCTGCCCTCGGCGCAGCAACGATACCTCGAACATGAGTCCCAGAAGGAGGCCCATGGCCAGGCAGGACACAGCATCGGTGTGGTTTTGGATAACGAACTCATGGCTCAAGACTGGCGGGCTCTTGTTCTTCTTCCGGA